TGTTCCTGAAGTAGGTGTTGTTAAATTTTTCCCCCTTCTGCTATTTCTTGTAATATTGTTAATAAAACCTTTTGAGCTCAAATTATTCTGAATTCGTATATCAATTAAATGACTTTTCTTCCTCCTTGAGGACTTCTTTTTTTAATCTGTTTTCATGCAATTAGGTGCCATTTGAAGTTCTTGTGAGAAGACAAATAGCTCGGCTATTGGATCCAAGCCTTCAATGTGCTAGGTTTATATATGATGAATTAATAAAGGTAGGGCTTAATGGCTTGCCATTTCTGCTGCGCCTTACTTCACCATCCCATTAACATAGTTCTCTCTCTCTCTCTCTCTCTCTCTCTCACACACACATATATATTCTTTTCAGATCAGCCATTGCTGTAAGGTGAATGAGCTTCAGCGGTTCCCTTTCTTAAGAAAGTGCATCGATGATGTCATAGGGAACTTTCTGCGAGATGGTCTTGAACCCGCAGAGAATATGATTGGGCACATTATTGAAATGGAGGTATGTGGGAATCCAGATTCTTTTAAACATAGAAGGGAGTTTCTATATATGCTTCACTGGTTCTACCTTCTCTACCTACTGCTATGTAATCATGTCATTAGTGGCCAATCAATGGTAGATATTCAACATGCAGTAAATTTACAATGACCATGCTTGGTCCCTGCTGTACAAACCCTTCTAAGAAAGTGATTTATGCCACATATGGTGCCCTAACTGGAAACCACTGACATGCTGCTAGTTGCTAATTAGTGTCGATTTTGATGGCCAGTCTATCAATGCAAAATATTCAACTTCTATCCATATTTACTAATTTAAATTTAAATTACACAAATTTGCAGATGGACTACATAAATACTTCTCACCCAAATTTTATTGGTGGAAGTAAGGCATTGGAGATTGCAATGCGACAGATGCAGTCTTCTAGAGTTCCTCCCTCAGTTTCAAGGCAGAGGGTATCCGTAATTGTTTATCACATCATTAAGTTTCATCCATATACGTCTATGTAGCGGGTTATAATTTACTCTCACTCCTTAATGTGTCTCTCCACCCTTGTTAATATCCAATAGGATGGCATGGAAACTGAGAGGGGATCAGCTTCTGATAGATCTCGAGGTATTTTTACAAGGCAAGCTAATGGATTTGTGGCTGATCAGGTATGTAATTGTCTTATCATTTCTTTTGGGGCCTGGAATCGTCTCTTATTAATTAGAGTATATATTTTCCATCCATAAACAGTTTATTTCTTTAGCTTTAAGGATTCAAGATATTTACCAGAGCATAAACTACATTTTACACTTTGTGAATTGTTTAAAAATAATCGCCCCTGGGGGTAAAAAAGAGAAAAAAAATTTTAATCTCTCATTTCTTTCATTAACTCTTTATGATTTGTTTAATTGCCACCTACCCACTTCTAGTCCTAGTAAAAATTGTCTAAGATGATTACCTATTTCATTGATGAAGTTATGTTTTACTTACACCCTGAATAATCTCATATTCTTTGGAGCCCATTCTTTGGATTAAGAGTGGAAACAAAAACTACAGGCTCAACTTCAATAACAGTCTCCAAACACTATGAAATGTTTTAAGCGACGAGGGAAACAAACTTCTAGCAATAAAATTGTTCATTTTTTCTGATCTACCTTCTACTATGTTAGCCGGAGATGCTTTCTTTCTGTGTGCTTTTGCTCTTAATTTCCTCTTTTCTGGAAAGGAAGACAGAAAGGAAGGGTGAGAACTTATTGTTTTAATACTTGCATAATTATTTTTGTTAAAATATAGATGAGAACAACTGAGGCAGCTCAGTGATAACAAATTGAATGATGCATTATGAACCACAAGTGGTCAATTTGTTTTGTATCAAATCATGGGTTAGACTGTAATTTTCACTTTCACTTAATTAACATCCTGTAGTTATTACTTAGTATGAAACTAATTATTGACAGGTTGTTCGTCCTGCATTGGATGTTGAAAGGGCTGCAGCCTCTGGTAATCCTTTTTTACCATTTAAAAGGTCAAGTCTTCTGTGGATTGCTGATATTTCTTCATTCATATTATTTTTTGATTATTAAATACCCAGCGTGTTCTTTAGATTCACCAGTGAGTATTGACATTATATAAATTTTGTGATGCTGCTTTTTCTTTCCCAGGAACCTCTGGTAAATCAAGTTGGGTTATTTCATCCATTTTTGGAGGTGATAACCGTGCATCTGCAACAGATAGTACAGCTAGTAGAGGACATAGTGAAACAGTTCATGTGATGGAACAGTCCTTCTCTATGATCCATTTAAGAGAGGTATATCTATTAATTTGTTAATTGAATCAATTGCTGCTTGCATGTAAATTTGCCTAATGTGCTTGGGTCCATGTAGCCCCCTCCTATCTTGAGGTCATCTGAGAGAAGTTCAGAGGCAGAAGCTATTGAGATTGCAGCCATGAAGTTGCTTTTGAGATCATATTACAACATTGTTAGAAGGAATGTTGAGGACTTCGTACCAAAAACAATTATGCACTTCTTGGTATTTCATGTCCTTCTACTAAGCTTCGCAAATTTCATGTTTATAAACTTAGATACTGCTATGCTAATGGAGATTGGTTGGTCAGTTGCATTCATACCATAGGGATGGTAAGGATCAGAGTAAGTGGCTAATAAAAATATGTGATGAATCTGATGGATATAATCTGACCTATGAAGTATGGAAAATGGTGGGTGTATGATAAATACATTTGAAATCTATTAGGTGCTTCTTTTGTCTAATTCTAATAGCTGCCACACGGCATTCTTTTTGTGCTTAAAATAAATGACTTCAACCAATATTTTTATCCATGACGTAATGTGTTTGTGTCTGTTTTTAAACCTTTTAAATATTGACTGTGTTCTCTATGTCCAATCTGTTGGAACTATTAAGCGTTTGTGTTCCTGAATTTTCAAAGCTATTCAATTCTGACAATGATGAACCATATGCAGGTAAACAATACAAAACGACACCTGCACAATGTTTTTATTCAAAAGCTTTACAGGTGATTTCGTAGCCCTCAAAATTCATATAATTCTTCAAGGATTATCTGAAGTTCTCTTGTTGACTGTGTCTTGTATGTTGCCATTCAGAGAGAACCTGTTTGAAGAGATGTTGCAGGAGCCTCATGAGGTAGCTAGGAAAAGAAGGCATTGTCGAGAAATGCTCCAAATTTATCAACAGGCTTTTAATGTGGGTAGTCAGTAGTCTTATTTTAACCAGCAATAGCATCTAATTGGATTTCCATTCTGTTATATGCCAACTTAGGTTCTCCTCTAATTGAGATTGTTTTTCTGATGTTCTTATGATAATCATGATACATGGTGTTCATTTGCTTGATTGGGTACTCTTAATTGTGTTTCCATTCTGTCTCTGTTATTATTTTTAAGTCCACTAACTTTTAACAGAACAAAATTTGGAGTAATGAAATGTGGCTGGCTGCTGATAGTTGTATTTCCTCTTGGTAGGAGTTGAATGGGCTACCTCTGGAAGCTGAAACAATTGAAAGGGGTCACAGTTTGTGTAAACCAAATGGTCAGCCTAATATTCGTCGAATGCCAACTTCATTAACAGGTTCTGCAAGCTGTTCTAGAAGGTCTTCTCACTTTGGGGAGGTTCCATCGCCACTCCATGCTAATTCAGATTCCAATGGAACTGCGGGGCCGTCGGGCTATTAATCCGCGGTTGATTTATGAGCTGGCTGAGCATGGTTAGTGAGCTGGCCAGGAGGAAGTTGTTATTATTTTTTCCCCTCCTTTTAGTGTTAAAAGTTGCTACTTTGTTTTACAAAAGGTTCTCTTTCTCCCTTAATATAATAGCATTGGCTTTATTTGCAAAGCTCAAAAAAGAATAACGGGAGCAGATTTTGTCCCATTTGTAGGAAACAGTTTTCAATAAATGATATGTATGTATATCTTCAAATCTTCTTCTGCTGGGGTCTGATATTATTTAGAGCATTTTCTGTAGTTGAGTTCGGTTTTTAGCTGCTGTGATTCCCTTGAGGAGATAACAATAGACAACGTCATCATTATTTGACTTAAAAAGTTTTAAGATGGTCAGGATGAATGAAGCAATTTAATGCCTTGATATTTAAAAGGCCAGAGAGCAGCTTCACAGGTTGGTGGATTATCCCAAAAAAAAAAAAATTCACTAAAATATATAATACTTTTATAAAGCTTGGATCAATTCCTAGCATTTTGAAATTGAAATTTAATCTTTTTTAATTTTTAATATTGAATCTTTTTTGTCGTTATTTTTGTCAGTAAGCAATTAAAAGAAACTGCCACATTAGATCTAAAAAAATGATGTGACATTTAACATGGGTTAAAATATTTAGATTATAATAATGCAAAACCTTCCGGTATTTGCATGCAACCTTGACGTTTTAAAATTCTATGTTAGTTGTTGGCAGGAAAAAAAAAATCTATGTTCTTTTTTTTTTTGTTGCTTCCTTTTATTTAATATCTATCAAAGTGAGCTTGTTGATAAGCTGATTCTCTCTAAGATATTAAAATTAAAATTAAATAGTTATTTTACAATCTTATCATCTTTCAATCTGATAAGGCTATATTTTAATTAAATGCAAAATATAACTTCCTTTTTATTAAAAATAAATTAAAAACAAAACCATGCTAACATATGAATGGCTATGGGTTGACGGGTTAAGTTGGAAATAACCCACGTCAGAACCGGTTGATATTTTACCAACTAAGCCCACTATTTTTTTAAAAAGATTGGAAATAAAACCCCGGGAGACAAATAATTACAATTTTTTTTTTTTTTGCCAACGGTTATAATTATGATTATTAGCCATAAGGCCAAAATTTTTTGACCTGAACCCATAAGGCCATAATAGATTCTTTTCTTTAGCCCAAAAATCCAATCCAAATGAAGCGATTTTTTAATTTTTGAATATAAAGGCAAATTTAGCCGTTTCATTTACAGTGGCACCGCATAATTGATCGGCTGAAATACTTTCGAATTCAGAAGTCGAATCACTACAACGGCTAGACTGGGATTCTGTTAAGCTATTAATATTGTTCTCACGTTTGCCTACTTTGGTTCCTCTGTTTGCTTTGATCGTTTATTCTTCAGTGGTTGAACATCATCTCGCGTCAATCGCCACTCTAACAATGGCTTGGATCGCATTCAATTCCACCAACAACATCTACACTACACGGCCTCCATGATTCGATCTATACTTCAATTCCTGAATTGTCGGTACGCAATTTTTCAGGCCTTTAGCTCCTCTGGCATTCTTTGATTTGCCCCCTTTTCTTTCCACATTAGTAGTGGAACTCAGGTGTTGTAGTTTCATTTGCTTAATTCAATCCTGATAGGCAATAATTTCGGATGTTCGTATTGGAAATTCGTCTTCGTTAATGTGCCTTATTTTATTGCTTTGTGTTTCTATATATTTTCATAACTTGTCACTATATTGAAGATTAGAGACTCTCCGTGTTGCGTATCGTAAATTTAATAGGTGGATATGCTTTCTATTTAGAAACATTTTCCCATTGCTTTTCCCTGCCAGTATTTTCTGCGTGCATTTTCCTTCCTCATCCACATCAATACTATTTTCCGTCCTGAATTTTCGCTTTCTACCGTTGCTTTCTTAGTGACACCTCCCTCATAGGCACGAAGTTCTCGACTATAAAGAAAGAGAGGGGTGATATAGCTCGCTGGCTTGATCGTGGATTTTGGAGGCAATTTAATGTGAACAGCTTTGGAGGAAGGGATTTTTTTATTTCCAGTTCTGGATCTATGGAGACAATAGGATTCAATTATGAGAATATTATTAATTATAAATCATAGGATTTATTTGATTCCAATTTAGTTGGTTTTCTTCTTACTCTCCTCTGGTGAATTAAGAGGAAGGAATCCATATATCTAGCTGTCTAGTAAATTGATAAATTGAAATGAATTGATTCTATTACATATGATTATGATTCTCTTTGATGCCAGAAAACGTGTACACATTTCAGTGAGCGAGCAAGCAAGGACTTGAGCTTAGTCCCTTCCTTCTCGATAAAAGTCCCTGAATTCAGAACTTTAACTCTAAGTCGAACTCCCTTCTCTATTTCACTTCCTACATCTCATTTACTTGAGGAGGTTAACTACTTCCTCTCCCGATTAGGCGCAGCTTATGAAGTTGGAATAGTTTTCTTTCTTAGTTTTTGTATTTTTTGTTATCAAGAGAAATTTCAACCATATTTCTCGTTCCATTAATTCTCTTTTTTCTCCAGCTGGAAGCCATGGTTCTTGTGTCCGAACTTCGAACTCGTTTTATACTTCAACTCCGGTTTGCTGTTCTTGAAAATTATATTTAAGTGAAAGGATCTCGGTTGATCATATCAGACTTATTACACGTCCAACACATTGTGGAGAGAAAATTAGTTGAAATGGTTCATTACTGTTTAAGAAGCTAATAATATTATCAATTGAATTTAGTGACAGATCTAAGGGGATCTAATTGACCAATGAAGTTTGAATTTTGCAGAGAGAGAGAGAGAGAGAGAGTTTGGATTCATAATTTCATGGTCGATGGCCCCCTACTTGTCCGATAAAGGTAAAAAGGTTGAGGCCATTATTAGGAAGATGAATGAGGTATTTGCCAACAAGGAGGCTCTTGGCCTTATTAGTCTGCAGTCATATGAGTTTTTTTTTAATTATTGGAATTTTCTTCTCAGCCTAGGGAGGGAGAAGCAGGCCCTTGCTATTTCTGGATATGACTTATAGTTTTAATTTTTATGCAAGACTATGATCAGATGAATATTTTAGAGCCTTCACTTTTAATGCCCCATCTCAACAGCTTTAATTCTCTATAGATGCCATGTCCACCGATCAAACGAGGTCCCCATCCTCAAAGTTAGCATTGGCCTCCACTCATCGTCTGTGATCTCCCGCAGGTTTTTTTCTCTCTGGCTTGCTCGGCTTCTCTTTCTCTTTGACATGAACAACTCTGGTTGTTGTGTTCATCCTTCGATCCTTTTTCAGGGCGTGTTTGAACTATTTTTTTGCTTTGAACTTTGGTGTGTTGTGCTTGAGAACCATATTCAATTTTAAGTAAAAGGATCTTGGTTGACCATATTAGACTCATTACACATTTTATAATATTATCAATTGATTGTTCATTACTGTTTAATAAATTGCTGTGTTATTGTTAAGTCTATTGATAAGCTAATAATATTATCAATTGAATTGCTTGGTCCGCTATTGTCAAATTTGCCGATGCTTCCATGTAAATTGTCTTGCTGTTTAATAAGCTAATTGATAATATTATCAATTGATGACATGTTGCAAATTGTTGCCATTGAAAATTACGAGTTATTTGGTATAGAATTCGGTTTTGCTAATTACCTGTTGGTTTGATCCAGAAACCTGATTCCGACCACCTAAATAACTTATTTGTCCATCTCTTGTGAAATCTAACCATGAATAATAGATTTATGAGATTTCTTCTTGATTTCCCATTATTCTCTTGGAATCGCAAAAGATTTTAGGAGCATGTCCCTTTATCAGCGTTTAAGCTTTAAAGACATTTTTATCTTTTTAGCCCTTTAGGCTATAATCTTTTTAGCTGTTTTAACATGTTTAATTATATTTCATTCTTTAATTGAGTTTTAGCCTTAAAGAAACATTGGATATCGGATGTCACGCCATAGTATAATTTCATTATATACGAAAGATAGCTCTAACTCTGCTCCACTACCAACAACATCCTCCTCATTAATATCGTGATCATCATTGATGTCATTATAATCCTCACTGTTCGTGAAGTGCTTGTATAAGATTGAAAAGATCCATATTTGTATGGACATTTAGAGCTTGTCTCAAAGTGAAAGCTTTCCCATTATGCGCTCTAGGACATAGCACATATTCAAAATCTTCAGCTATAGGGTAGCTCTTCACAACACTAAAAAGCCTTTTCATGAATGATACACCATAGTCTTCATCTAATTGTTCCTGATCCTTCCCTCTTCTTCAAGATAAACCTCAAATCCTACATTCTATAGCTCTAATTTGGCTCCACTACCACCAACATCCTCCTCATTACTGTCGTGATCATCATTGATGTTATTATAATCCTCAATGTCTATGAAATGCTTATCTAAGATTGAAAATATCTATATTTGTATGGACATTCAGAGCTTGTCCCAACGTGACAGCTTTCCCATTATGAGCTGTAGGACATAGCACATATTTAAACTCTAGCTATAGAGTAGCTCTTCACAACACTAAAGGCCCTTTCATGAATGATGTTACATTGTCTTCCTCTAATCATTCCTGATCTCTCTCTCTTTTTGAAGATAAACCTCAAATCCTATATCGTACAAATCTTGGGAAATATCCACCATATCAACTGATACTTGCTTACCATAAGCTATTGTGACTTGGAGTCCTCATTTAGGTTCTCTTCTGTTGGGAGAAAGCTGCATCCTAGCTCTAATCCGGACTATATGTTACCTCAAAGTCTTCTTTGGACTCTTTCTTTTTTATTTAATAGTTAAGGGTTATGAGTTAGGCAAGAGTCATTATAACTGGACAGGAAATTATTTTTAAAAACTCTAAAAAATTTAGAAACACAATGGATATTTTGGGTTAAACCTTGATTAAGTTGGATTGACTTATTGGGCCTAATGACCAAATAATGAATCTCCATTCTTTAATAAAATTGCCTCCAATAAAAGATTCTTGTACTTTGAAAAAAAAAAAAAAGAAGGCCTTGTTTGATTTCTTGTCTTAAAAAAATTTAGAAACACAATGGATATTTTGGGTTAAACCTTGATTAAGTTGGGCTGACTTATTGGGCCTAACAACCAAATAATGAATCTCTATTCTTTAATAAATTGTCTTCAATAAGAGGATTCTTGTAATTACAAAAAAAAAAAGACCTTGTTTGATTTCTTGTCTTAAAAAATTTTAAAAAAAACTTGCTTAACAGCTAATTTTCAATTAAGTGTTTTGAAAAAAAAAAAATAGAAACCTATTTTTAAAAACAAAACACTCAAAACAATTTTTATGTTTTCTATTTTTCATATTATGTTTTGTTATTTTTTTCTAATTGCTCTGGTTTGCCCTTGCCATTTTGTCTCTCACACTCAACCTCTTGATAATTGGTATGTTTCTACATTGTTTTTCAATCCTCCAACTCTCAATTCGTCATTGACGCACTAACAAAAACTCAGTTTTCATTCCCCCAAACTTGTTTTAAAAGACAATTATATAAAACTATTCTAAAAACATTAGTTGTAAAAGAAGTGACTATTTTCTACCAGAGTCAATGGAAAAATAAGTGACTTCTTTCATTTCATCCTTCTTTTGCGACTGTAAATATAAGGGAAACCAATAACACCCTCATTGTTCTCACAACTCCTAGAGACTCTTAAAGACTTATGATCTTGTGTAGCTAATGACACTAACTTATTCAGACCATGCAAAACACAAAGTCGAAGGGAGGTCTTATGTAAATGACCTTTAATGCCATTTTGTCTGTGCCAAATTTAGATGCCACGTGGCTAAACCTGATCCATATCCTAAGAGAATGAGGTTTATAAGTTCTATGTTTAGAAAGTGTCCACGCTCATTAATATTGAACAAATATAATAATATATAAGTCTTTAGGACTGTTGAAGTCCAAAGCCACTAACACTCCAATTAGAATAGTTAATCAAAAGTATTTAGATGCGTAACATAGTGAACGGGACCTAAGTGGCAAATATTAGCATTTTAAGCTTCCAAAGTCTCCTTTAAGGTACTAGCACGAAAACCATCACCTGAAAATATTAGAAACCATGAAGCGAGACAAACGCTTCAATAACAAACATGTACTCATGAGGTGTCAAGTGAGATAGTTATAAATTTCAAGCGTATAACAAAGAATAAATTCAACAAGGCCTCACTATGAGGGGCCAAATGTACTCCTAGTACTCATAGGCCTATCCCTCATTATGGGAAAAGAAGAAAAAACCGTACAAGCCAACCAATGTCTCAAAAGATATCATCTTAACATCCAATCAACTGCCAGAACCAAAAATAATTCATTATCTCAAAATACTCTATATTTTTATGCTTCAAAGGTATAAATCGCATAAAACACTTTCCAAACCTTTCATTCACAATTCTACAAGTCCTAACAATTTTTATACTCAAAAGATATATCAAACACCATCAAGTTCCAAATAATATTTTATTATCTCAAAATATCAAAATACTTATAAACAGTATATATAACAAGTGAGAGATAATTTGACTCTTGGAAAGGATAATTTACTAATGACTATTCCAAAATGTTTATAGGTAGTAAGAGGGCCTTAATCCATTGTGTTCGCCCCTTTTAGGAAGTCAAACAAGAGGAGCTTTTAGAAACCTGTGCAAAAGACATAAAAAAACTTTTTTAACCAATCCTAATATTACTCTAAAACGTCTACAAGTATGAACGTCAACCATTATCCTTTTGCTAAGCCTCAATTAATCTCAGTCAACACTAATCCGATATAATGCGCCTTTGTTATCAGTTTAAGCTTTTGACATGGTAATTAGTGTCACATCTTAAATTTTAGGTTTAGAAGTACCAGAATTAGCCTGAAATAGGCAAATGGACAGACTATCAAACTCCTTTTGGCAGAGGTTCTAGAGGTTTGCTGGAGGGACACAGAGGAGAAAGTTAAAGAGTATAGTGAGATGAGTGTATGCCAAATGTTTTGTTGAAGGCCTCAATGAGGTGAATTATAAAGTTAAGTTGAATTAGGACAAAAATAAAAATTATGTCAAAAAATTCCAGAAACATCCTAAAAAATAGGACATGTATGTGAAAATTATGAAAATGTCCTTGGATTGTCTTTAAATAAATTTTAAAGACATGTGGCTTGATGATATAGGCATGATATCATAAGTACACTTGTCACTATAAGACAAAGAGACGGTTAAGATTAAGCCACTTATTTTCAAGATCAACGGCCAAGAATCAATCTTGTTTTCTACATATACCCCTCATGTTCGTCCAAGGCTCATGGAAATTATGGGAAAACTCTTACAAAATAAATTCTAGAGAGAGAAAGAAGGGGAGAGAAAGACCAAATGATCCCATACAAGTTTTAAAACAATGTATGTTTACGGTTTTTGATGTAATTTTTACTACTTTTCTTGTTGTTAAGCTCGGTTATGGATTTTGGGAGTTTGAAACTCTTAGGGGGTATGCTGCATGAAATTCTTAAGAGTAGGGAAAGATGGAATTGATGTTTAAAGGCTTGAAAGGAACAAGAATCAAGTGGTTTCATGTTAAAATTACTTAAGAAATATTTTAGCCAGAGCTTTGATTATTTTGATGCTTTCAATGAGAAAAGAAATTTGAAAACATTAGAATTAAAAATAAAAATTTTAGACTCCAAGTGCGTACTATTTAGTCAAGGCTAGTTCATGGAGAAAGAATTTGATTTTGATTATTTTGAGCTTGAAAATAGATTTTACATGCAAATTTATATGACAATAGCATGTGGAGTTAATTTTAGAAAGATTGCAAATCAAACTCAAAAGTTAGAAATTAATATAGTTGCAAGAAAACAAAATGTTCATATTGTTGATTACCATAGCTTTAATGAACAAATAGAAATGTTGTGTTGATGAATTTAGGGTCATGAGACATTAAGAAAGAGGAATATAACAAAAGTTAAACAAGTAACTTCAATGCTGGTAGCAAAGGGAGCAAGAGCGAGTTAATATAGTTTTAAGAAAACAAAGTGTTGATATTGTTGATTATCATCGCTCTAATGAATGAATGGAAATGATGTGTTGATAAATTTAAGGTCATGTATGACGTATTTCTATGTTTATATAATTTTACGAAACCATGCATTATAATTGTGAATATATTTGAAATATGCCATCGGCTTATGTGTTTTATGAGAAATGCATGATGATTTCTAAACACGTCATTATTCTCTTGAATCTCACTCTCCCTTAACTAATCCCAGTAGGTGATAAGGATGAAGCAAAGGATGCATGAAGTGGAAGAAGGAAAGAGGAAAAGAATTGAAAAAAGTTATCGTATTACATAGTATAATTTGTATACCTGTATGTTGTAAATGTACTATTGATGGTAAATGATGATTGTGCATGGAAATAATTAGTTATAATTTTTTAAAATAGGACCAAAAATCTGAAATACCCGAGAACCAATTAGACTTTACCCTACGAGCATGTTTCATGAATCGTTTTAGCTGTAATGCTACCAAACAGTACTCTGAGGAGTTAAAGGAGGATGTTCAGTTAGTGTGTTGCGTATGATGTTCTCTTCTTTTAAGAAGTCAATCAAGACGACTTTTTAGAAACCTGTGTAAGAGGCATAAAAATGCCGTAAGGTGCTATAGTAACTAAGCTAGCTCCAAGTAGCCTTAGAAAATACAGAATTTGGTTAGCTAAGCTAGAATATTAGCTTAAAAAGGCTTCACAATGAGTTCATTCTCTTGAATTATTATTTCTAAATCTTAGAAGTATTCTCTTGATACAAAGTACTCTGATCCTAAATATAAGACCCACATACATACTAGTATAAGGGTTTTGTATTTAGGATTGAAGGAGTATTAATTTTTCTTAATATACAAAAGGAAAATGATACCTAGAAGTATTCTTAAAAATGCAAAATTTGATCAGCTAAGCTAGAATTTGTTTTTACCTTAGCTAAGAAAGACTTCACAACGAGTCCATTCTCTTGAATCCTAGAAGTATTCTATCAATGATACAAAGTATTAATTTTTCCTCATATACAAAAGGGAAACTCTCATTTGTACTTGAAAAACAACTAACTCTAAGAAAATATGAAATAAGTAAACAATGAAAACACATAAAATATTATCAGCTGCAACGTTAAAGCTGACAAGATTCTTGCAACTTCATCCTGAAACCCTGAAGTTTACGATAAGTTGATAGGCTTTTGCAGCTGGGAGTCCTCAACATCATGCCTTAAGCTATCAGCGTAGCACCCTAATTTCCTTAACTGTCATGAGTTTGACTTTTGCCATGGTAGTATTAAGATCCACACCCTAGACCTCTGTTACAAACTTTTAGAATAATAGTTAGCACTTCGTTCTTAAGGTCTAGGGAGCCTTTTAAAAACCTGTGTAAAAAAACATAAAAGACAAAAATTTAGCTAAGCCTGTGTAAAATTTGTTTGAACCAAGAAAAGCTTCACAATGAGTTGACAAGACTCTTGCATAACAAGATCCACACTCCAGACCTATGCTATAAACTTAAACTTTTAGTATAATGGTTAATACTTATTCTAGAAGGGATAATGAGTTGACAAGACTGTTGCATAATAAGATCCACACTCCAGACCTATGCTATAAACTTAAAATTTTAGTATAATGGTTAGCACTTTATTCTTAAGGTATGTATTATCCCGTAAAGCATCATTTTTGCCCCTACTAGAAGGTCACAAGGAATAAAAGCCTGTGTAAAAGACATAAAATATATAAGAAAGTTCGAAAGTTCACAATGAGGAAATGCCAAGTAAAGACTCAAAACTACATAAAATATTATCTGCTAAAATCCTAAAGGCATAAGGCATTGTGGTTGAAAGTAATTCGGATAAAGTATCAATGGGGAACAAGGATCAAAAACACAAAATATTCTTGAAATGCCTATTCGACAATTCATATATCTAAAATGATATAAAATTCCTAATTAAAAACACAAAACAAACTAGAAATAAACATGCATGCCAAAGATGTGCCTAGTCGTTTTGTTGATAAATATTACTCTATTTGCAGGGGCTTCTATGCACAAAATTAATGTTATAAACGAATGCATGACCATGACCACATTTTGCAAGTGCTCAAGCATGAAGGTCAACATCTCTAAAACCATGGCCTAAGGCTCAAAACCAAGTGTTATTTGTGGGTGAAAGTAATTTGGGCAAAGCATTAAGGGGGACAAGGATCAAATTAACTTTGGGAACGTAAAAATGGCTCAAATGAAAATGGGATTGTAGTGGGGAACTTCAATGTGAAATTAGTATATAATGCTATCCTTGAAGATGATTACCACAACGATGTTAACTAGGATGCCACATGGATGTTTGATGCACTTGCTGCATGGAAAGTGACAAAAATATGATGAATCCTCCGTCATTGCGACAAAAAAGTTGCATAGTCACTTTTTGAGGATAGATCTTTAAGAGTGGTTGAAATGGAATCTCATTGGTTGTTATGGTGGTTTAAAAATAATAGGACATTTGAAGGGAAAATTCCTCTCACCTTGAGGCATAAGCAAAAGATTTGACAATACTATTTAATCGCTTAGATGAGTTTGGTCATATGGTTTTTGGCTAATCAATTGTTATTATTCACTATGTTTGTGAAAATAATGGTCACTAGCTTAGATGGTATGGTTATTTACTAGTCAATTGTTGTTATCCATTTGGTTGTTATAGTCATTTTTTATATCTCAAAGCTTAATAGTTATTCACTCTGGTTGGCGATAGTGGCTACTAGGGAGGTGGGAGTTTTCACCGAATTCCAAAATCTCTATTTAGTCTTCTAAGGACTGAGTTTTGAAAAATTAAGGGTTAAATTTAAGGATTTCCTAGGTTATCATGTCCTAGCTCAAGTCACATATAAGTCATGAGTGGGCGTTTTTTTTCCTTTTGTGTCAAGACTAATCTTTTTTCCTTGTATCCTAAACCTTATCCTATCATGATTTAAATATTTGAATCCTTGTGCCTAAAGTTACTCTTCCTGGCTGTGTCCTTGTCTTTTCTTGTAACTAATGCTTGCTGGCCCATCACATTAATACACGCCCCAATTTAGGATTAGTTAAAAAAGTATTTGGATGGAATCAAAATAATTTTAAAAGTGCTTTTATAATATACGAAATAAATATATTAAGGAGTTTATCTCCATATGGAAAAAAATCCTTTTAAAAAGCAATTTTCCTAATGGCCAAACACCCTAATTAATAGCATACACGCTTCTCATAAGCCTAGGGCGATAAGGCAAGCGGAGATAAGTCCAAAAATCTCTCTTAACATGCCTTTCATATATAAAGAACTATAGGAAATCGACATAAATAAGCCTAGTGAGCAGTGAGGCAAATGAACAAAAGTTCAAAACTCTCTTGAACACTAGGACTTTCAGCAATCACCGAGGGAGAGTAGACAAAATATTATGTAAAAGCTAGCTTCTGAACATACCATTCAGATATAAAACCATAGGAGGTCAACATGCCAAACACAAGTTACCTCTGGACGTTATAAATGGCTATCAAAGAGTTGGAGATGAGCTTGTGACTTGGTGAAAGAGTAAGCCCAAAGTCAACCCTTAGATCCAAGAGCTCCAATCCTGGTAAAATAGTGAATTTCACATGATAAATTCAAGAATTAGCCACTGCCATATATGCCTTACCAATTTTCTAAATTCTTTTTTTTTTTAAATACAATGAAAGTAACCAACTTTCCAAATTCTAATCATGAAGGATTCCAAGGTTTAAAAAAGAGAGAGCTCAATCTTGGACTCAACCTTATTCTTAAGCCTCACCCGAATCCTTTTCTCACAAAGAGAGAGCTACAAACCAAACTAACAATAAAAATAAGCATGCCTTATGCTAAAATCTTGTCACCAAAACCCCCAAGCATCCTTGAGTTTTGGCGACCAAAGAAATGGTACCGGTACCCTAGTAGTAAGTCATAGAGACCTCGAAGCTGCTCCTCTAAACACTACTCCTTTCCTTTCGTTTTCCATCTAGTTACAAACTTCTAAAGCATTATCATTTATCAATATGTTATAATTTTAATTAATCACAAATAATAATATAATTTTTTGAGCTTACTGACTATGTTTTGAACAAACCAATTTGCAATTTGTAGTATTCTAGTATAAATAAAATTTTTTTTTTTGGATCTTGGTATTTACTTTTTCTGTAGCGTAGTGCTCAAAACCCAAACTTATAAATTACACATCATCAATCATGTTAATGTTCATTTAAATTAAAATCCTTTAAATAGATCGTATGTAATGGCATATTGGTTTCATCCGTCACCTTGATAACGAAAAATACAAAAACCAAGAAGGCAAACAATTCCAAATTCTTACGCCAACAAAGCAATGTCAATGTTGCAAGGGTACAAAACAATAGAACTATGCTTGAGATTTCTCTTCCATTTTATCTGCGGATTATTCTCTACCATACCAATTAAATCAATTCTAAACATAACTGGACACTTCAATTGAAATAGCATAATAAAAGAGATCAACATCTTCTTGTCTGGCTCTTATTTTCTTTTCTGTAACTGATACAGAGAGGAAGTGATTACTGGATCAAATTCATTTTCTTATAGCCTAAGGGAAATAGAGAAGGGAGTTCGACTTTGGGTTTGAGTTCTGAGTTCAAGGACATTTACTAAGAAGGAAGGGATTGAGCTCAAGCCGTTGCTTGTTGGCTCATTGAAACTGTCCACCAGAAAAGAGGAAGAAAAAGACCATCTATCCTCAAAGTAAGCCTCGCACAAGATTAAGAAAGTATACATGTTTCTGGCACGAAGGAGAATTATAATTATGTAATCAAATCAGTTACCGAAGGATTCCTCCTCTTGATTCACCGGCGGTGAGTAAGAAGAAATCCAACTAAATCGGAATCAAATAAATCCTATGATTTATTAATCAATATATATTCTGATACGATCCTGATAAAGGTAAATTCACGAAGGAGGATTCACTGAGACAGCAGCGATTGAAGGTGAAAATTCAAGAAGAAAAATCATACTGATGCGGAGGAGGGAGGAAAATTCAGGAGGAATATATATTGATAGGTAAAGGCAAAGGGAAAATGTTTCCAAATAGAAAACATATCGACCGATTAATTCCATACGTAACACGGAGAATCTCCAATCTTCAAGATAATAAAAAGTTAGAAACATGAAGCACATCACTGAAGACAAATTGCGATATACAAGCATCCCAGATCATTAAGCAAATGAAAACCACAATGATTGGGCTCCATTGGAACACATCGAAAGAGAAGGTGGTAAATAAAAAAAAAAAAATATTAGAAGAGCTAAATACGAGAAAAATTACGCACCGAGAATTCAGGAATCGCACTATAGATCGGATTTAGGAGGTCGTCTTGAATCGAACACAGTCCAATCCCGTTGTTCGAGTAGTTGAACACCGACGCAAGATGAGGTTCGACCACTGAAGAACAAACGATCGAAGTAAGAAAAACACGAACAGTGCTATAGAGGCCCAAAGTAGCCGTTGCAGAATAGTTCCGTTACATTTATGCGACTCTCGAATAAGAATCTCAATCGATCAGTTACGTTGTGGAGTTGTGCATGAAACGGCTGATTTGCCAAGATTTTTCCTCTTTTTGTTTTTTTGGGCTAACACATTTGCCTTTATTTTAACCGCTTCATTTAAATTGGATTTTTGGGCTGAAGAAAAGAATCCATTATGGGCCTCCAAAAGAAGAATCATGGCTTGCGAGGTTTAAATCATTAAAAAATAACAAGAACTATGAATTGTACGCGGCCATAGTAGATGCAGGTCCACGAGCGGGAGAACCAGGGCACGCCAAATATTTCTGTTATTTCTTTTTTATTTATTTAGTGTCTCTGGCAATTTATGCCAACTGACATATACATATACACACCACTCCTTCAATCTTTAATATAAGACCTAATTAACTAATTTAAATAGATTGAGATTGTTATTAAATTATTAAGATGATATTTTTTTTTTACCCTAAATATCCTAATCATCTTCTCTAATTCTCTCTCCCTCTGTCTCCAACTAAGTTATTGTTGAAGGAATACCAATAGGGTTATTTTTTTAAAAAATTGATAAACAGATAAAATAGATCTTATATATATGATCAATATAGGACCAATATCAACTCTTAAACTAGTTGTAGTTTTCAGCATAGCCCCACACTCCACAACCTCTAACATCCGATAGATCCGCAATATCCAGCACGGTCTGCATCTGTAACATGTTTATTTTCAACATTCAATAGATTCACAACATTGATTTAGTATTTTTCTTCCATTTTTCATTTTAGCTATTTTGTGGTTTCTTTATAATATTAGTTACATATATTCATTCAAACCCATGTATGATGTATCTTCATTTTCTCTCTTCTCTCTCTTTTTCTTCCCATGCATCATTTTCCACATATATGAACACTTGCATCCTGGGACTCAGTGTTTAACTGAGAAGTGTATGCATCTCGCATATTGAAGATTATATAATGCCTCTTTCACGCCTTCTAGTTCAAGAAAAACCCAGATAAACCAGAAACAATCATTAATGTCTTAGTAGAGAAAAATATCTAAGTATGAAATGTGAATTAGAAGGAACATGCAAATGAATATATTGCAAGAACTTTGCATCTGCTGATTGACAAACAGAAAAATGAAAGGGTGAATGACATTTGCGTATGGTTGTTAACACTTTAGTCCCCTAAATTGGAGAAATGCCACGTCTTAAAAGATGTAGTAATTGATCTCGATAATCCTTGATTATCATTTTAGAATATAAAAACCATAAAGTCCATTAAATTACTTTATCAACAGATTAAAGTACTTTTTACCAACAAAGTACTTGGCATCAAAAGCATAATTTAGATTCCACTTTTCTTTATATGAATGAAAACTTTTACTTTCACTTTCACTTATGTTGATTATATACTTTCGTATCTAGCAAAAAATGTGTTTGTGTGTGGGTACATACACAAATATTTATACATATATATATGTATATAAAATCTAGTTGCCGACATTGTCTTTAAAGTTAAAAACATTTATGTTATATAATAATATATACTCCTTCCAATAAAAAACTATATGAATTAAATAATTAATTTGTAAAGATTAAGAAAATAGTTAAATTAATTATTTATAAAAAATGTGTTGCTTTTTCTAAACATAATTTAACATGCATTTTATTTGCATCCTTATTAATTTATCTTTTACACTGTTGTTGTGACCAATATTCAGCATTGAACTAAAAATAATATGATTTTGTAACTTATTCATATATTACTGAACATGTTATCTTTAATGATTATTAATGATTAATAGTTAGTAAATCCACTAATTATATATAAAAAAATAGAAGTTAACAGACTGAGTTTTTATATTATATATGACAATGACTCAAATTAATATGATTTTGCCAATTATATATCTGTTTTTCTTTATTTCTCCCCAAATATATCATATACAATATTTATTTATGTTATATTCAAATTCAAATTAAATTTTTTTGACAAAAATGTCCCTATTTAACATAAGAATTATTCAGACATTTATATTTGCCAAAACAAATTCTTGTACAACAAAAAAAAAACTCTAATCATGCTACTAAATATTTTAGAACATTGAATGCACCCGAAAAAATATTTTAGAGTACTAGATGTATTAGCCCCTTTTTATCTCTGTTTCTTATCACTCTGTATTTTTATTTATATTTAAACACTTGCAATTAGGGAAATAAGGATTCTGAGGCTCACCATATAATTAAGAAGTCATGTTCATCTCAGGTATTGAGCATTATATTAATTCCTTTTGTACGCCTTCTTGTTCAGGAAAAAAAACGCAAACACCATTAGATCAAGGATATTATGAGAATTCAAAGAATATATAAATAAATATATTGCAAATTTTCATCTGCTGATTGATAGATAGCAAAAATAAAAAAAATAAAAGGAGAGAATGACACCTGGGTCTCTGGAAGATGGTTGTTAAAGACTTTAGTCTACTAAATTAGAAAAATATAAAAGTTGCACTTTATTTTATAACATAAATTGAAAGGTCTAAAGCCTTGTAGGAACTGATGTCGCCTATATTTAACAATATAAAAATACCACGAACCATCAAAATACTTTATTAAAAATTAAAGTACCTTTTATCAAAAGCAAACTTAAATTCTACTTCTCTTTCATTAAAAAAAAAATCTACTTCTCTTTATATAAAGGAAAAATTTTACCTTCATTTATGTTTATTATATATTTTCATATCTGGCAAAGAAGTATATAGTCTAATATGCGGTAATGCTATTTTTTATATGATAACTTTTAATTTTTCTGTAGTTATGTTTTGCGTCCTTACATAACTCATGGGCCCGGCACGTCAAATGCTTATAATTTTTTATATTTTATAGTTACAATTTATCATGACATAAATGTATGGATTATAATATAAATTGGTCGACCAGACTTTACCACAAACAACATTAAAATGCAGTGAAATTACTTGTTTCAACAAACATTCAAGTATGGGCCCATTCGCCACTACTTAGGGCCAGGCGGTGTTAAAAAGTTAAGGAGTAACCATTCTGTTTTAAATATAAAATCATTTTATCGTGTGATTTTTATTCATTTTTTAGTATAATTTATATTACAAAATAAGTATTACATTGAGGGCCAAAAAGAGTATTATTTACTTTTACCAATTACATCAAACATTAATTAGTTTTTAATGTAATAATGAGAGATATCATTTTGCGATTTGGAATTGGGTTGGCATCGCTTGACCACAAACAATATATTAAAATGCGGTGGAAATAATGTTTCAACAAACAATGAAGTATGCTGGTAAAAAAAAAAAAAAAGATGTCTGGCCCATATTAAAGAGTATTATTTACTTTTACCAATCATATCAAACACTAATTAGTTTTTAATGTAATCACGAGAGATATCTATATTGTTAATTTATTTTTATTTCTTCGATACAATAATGATAAAATATACACACACAAGCACCCAGCGTTCGGATATGAAATATCTGTATGTTGGTTGACAAAAAAATCTATAAAAAAACGCTGCTTTTTTACATGTGTTTTGAAGTCATTTGTGGTATTTTCTTTTGAGTAAATTAAGATATATAATGGTACCTTTTTTTCCTTGGTTGTATCAATTTTATCTGCATCCTTAGAGAGCTCACAAGTCTAACAACTCATGTTCTGACACATGTAAATGGAAGGATCCTCTTTATTTTAAAAATAAATTTCATGGTTTGCAGTCAATTATTTTAAGAGAGAATCCCAATTAAATCCAACCGAAATACCTAAATTCAGATTTAGGCCTGTACTTTTAACAATTCCTAATTAGGCCATGAGATCTAATTAGGGATTCTTAATATTGTTAAATAACCAGAATGCCCTTCTTCAATTAAAAAGAAAATTTGATTAATATACCTCTCCCAAGTAAGTCCTCATCTCTTATGATTTTTTTTAGACCAAAAAACATATAAGTAATTTTAGAATGTTTGAAATTTGTATATATAACTTACACTATTAAAAATATTTTAATAAAACATGTTAAATTACAAATATAAGTAAAATTATAAATATAAGTAAAGTTTAAATAAATTTTTTTATTTTCAGTTTTTATAATTTACGTTAGTTTTATTTATTTAAACAATGTTGGATCCAACTGAAAACGTAAATGATTACAATTTAATATTAAATTTTTATTATAATTAAAATATTTTAAAATTTTAAAATAAATATTTACAACCTGAAAAAAATATTTATTTACAGATTACTTATATTATAATTTGAAATTTTTTATGAAAATATTTTGAAGATTTTAGTTATATTACAAAATTTTAAACACTAAAAAATTATTTATATTTTTTTTGTCTAAATATTAATAATAAGAGATGATGAACCACTTTAGAGGGATAAAATAATCAATTTTCATTTTTAACTAAAGAGGGGCATTATAGTTATTTAACAATATTCAGTGATTCCTAATTAGGTCTTATGTCCTGATTAATAATTTGTTAAAAGTGTACTCCTCAATTCAAATTTAAGTATTTCAGTAGGATTTAATTAGGATTTTCCCTTATTTTAACCTTCATAATTATTTTTTCTCATATAACAACTTTCATAATTATTCTAAGACTTTTTATTACTTTTAATTTTATCCTGATTTGCTTCAGAATTCGTTTTTTTTTTTTCAATATGATATTGGGAAAAGTGATTTTGTTTTTCGCTTCTCAAAATTGAATCTTAAAAAGTAAGGTATTAAAAAAATTCTAGTTAGAAACGAAGTAAAATCCTAACAAATTATAATTATGTATCAATGAAAAACTCACATCCACAAACTTCACACCAAATCATTTTTAAATTCTCTCTAAATGGTCTTGTTTAGTTTTTCTACTACATAAATTCTCATGTATGGCTTTACAGCCTCTAACACTCTTGTTTTTATTATTTTTCTTCAATTTTTCACTAAAGAATATGCAAA